ATCGCCAGAAAACCTCAAACAGTTGAAAGCAATAAGATTACGAATAAGAACACCTACCAGGCTTTTACGAATCGCTTCTTTTGCTCTCTGGAGAGGGAACTTCTCCCCAACAAGGGGAACCATAACTCCCTTGGCCATGAGCTCGAAGATGGTATCGGCGATCTTGCGAACGCTGGGAGCATCGAATGTGTCAACCCACCTTGACAGATGGAACCCATGTAGCTTGACTTGTCGATTGATAAGGTCGCGCACATCGGTGTGAGCGTCCATTTTGCCATCGAGCGCACCGTAAGAGAGCACCACTGTTCCTCTGAGTCTCACAGTAGAGCACACCACCTTTTGAGCAAAACTTTGCAAATCAAAACGCTGCTTCACGAGGACAAGAACTTACTTTGGTTACTTCACCTCCAACAGCGTCGATGGTGGCGTAGGCCAATTTACCACGTGATTTCACTCACTTGCTTCACAATGCCTTCGTCCTTGAGATTGATGACCTCGTCAGCGCCAATGGTCTTGAGCTCTTCCTTCTGTTCGTCCCGACGAACAAGGTTGATGGTCTGCCACCAAAGGTTTGAAGTTCCAAATCACTTCATCCAACGTTCTAATTAACCAATCGCTATCCTTTGGCCGTTGCTTGAAACTCTTTACAGCCTGTGCTAGCTTTACCAGGAGGAACACGATGATACTACGATATCGCGAAGTTTAAAGTTTTCTCCATACAACAAAAATGTATACTCGAGATCACGGAGCTCTGCAAAAGTAGGAGCTCCAGGACAAGCGGCGTGATGAGTTCCAAGACTACTTGAGTCCTCTCGGTGGACATCAAGCCCTTCAACCCCGCCTTTGGCGCGGAAGACCAAAACGAAGCTCTCTCGAGCGAGTTGCTCAGGATGCCTTGGCGAGATCTTGAAGGCCGCCAGGCTCGCACACGTTTCCCGACCATATATCCCTGGCAAGGAGAAAGTTCGCTTTGTCAGTAGGATGGAACTCGTCCCACCAGAGATAGGAGCTCGCGTTGCTGCAAGCCATCTGCGGGAACATGCACATCATCCAGCCGCCGAATCTCCCAGCACCGCAGCAGGCGCTTCGAGACGTGACGAATCCTGTGGATGAATTTGAAGAAACTTAGCTCTCTCAGTTCTAACAGTGGAATAAAACTACCTGTGCGTACGTACCATATTGGAGTGGAGTTCGGACGATAGGCATGAGGCTCTGGAAAACGTCGCAGTAGATGATCCTGAGGTTCCTGTGCTTCATTGCGAGGCTCTGAGCCGTGACCCTCAACGCGTTGTTGAACTCGGCGATCATGAAGTTGATGCTGTCGACGCAGCCAGCGCCCGTCTGGTTGAAGGTATAGAGGTAGAAGGGAACGCAGCCGAGAGGCCCGAGTCCGATCGTCACAACCTTTCGAATGCCTCGGGCATACATGTCCTGAAGAAAGAAATTTGTTGAAAAACGAAAATACAGTTTCATCCTACCTCGATGTGTCCAACTAGAGAGGATATCAGCAGCTGGTTGAACTCGAAGTTGGTCATCTTATTCTGGACGTCCGAGACGTTCCTTAGGTAGTAATGGATGAAGTCGTTGCTGCCGATTGAGATGTAGTGAATCGAGTTGGAAATGACAGCGTTGGCAGCGTCCTCACCGATTTTGGAAGCAAGCCTTTGCTGTATTTCGACGATGTGCTCCACCTGCTCTGCCATAGGAATGTGTTGGCCCTGATCATCCAAGAAATCAATCACACAGATAAATACTTCCTTGTAATCTAGCAAACAAAAGCAACGAGAAAAATTACAAGGTCCGATCCACTTGGATTGAGAATGCCCGCACCAGCAGAAGCAAAATTCACTCCCTGCATCTGAGATGTGAAGTTCCTACTCAAAAGCGGAGGAATAAATGGAAGTCCCAGAAACAAGGCTGAGAGGAAAAAAAAACACACACAAGAAGAATTAGCTTTCTCAAACTTTGTATAAGATATATCATCAGTACCTAGATAGTCGACGCTCAAACGGCCATTCGAAAATCTCCCAGTGGGGAGGTGAGTGTCGAAATCTCTCCCGTATGGAGCAAGGTTGGCCCTGGCGATGGTCTGGAGATAATTGTTGTTCCCCACGTCCACAGTGGAGTCGCCATAGACGAAGAAGCCCGGCACAAGCGGAGAAGTGAAAGGGGGCGTCGCGATAGAGCTCGTCTCATTCACCATAATCGCCGAGGAAGACACGAAAGGTGGGGACTTTCGAGGCGATCTTCGAGCGGACGCCAAGATATGCCTCGGCCTGTGGAGAAGGATCGGCGGCAGGGACCTGTCGTCGCCATTCTCGGCGAATGCGGCTGTGGGAGCCTCGGCACGGTGGGATCGAAGCATCTCCAGGGTCGCCAGGGTCGCGACCATGAGCAGCCAGATCGAAAAGACAGTAGCCGCGAGGCCGATGAAGATCCCGGCGCCTGGGAGAGAAGAGATCGCCAGATATTTCACGCAAAAAAGGGAGAAATGGAAGCTTACCCATTTCCTTGCAAGAATCGTGCTACAGGAACGCGAAATTCATGGCCACACTGGCAGAAAAGAGCGTTGCTGGGAGATCGAAGTACAGCGGACAGGTTAGAATGCGCATCGTGCGAGGCCCCAAAACCCCAAACTTTTAGGGTTCTAAGTTAAAATCCCGGATCTTTGAATGTCAGCCGTTGATTATGACGGACCGTCGATCTCTAACGAACTTATTCCAAGAATATTCGAAGATTATAAAACAAAAGTGAAGTTCTATGAATATTCTATCTGATCATCTGGTCTAAATTTAGCAATGTCTTAATATAGGTAAGCTGACGTGGAAATCAAGTAAAAATTAAGCGCCCACCGCCTATAGCACGCAATCATCCATCAAAGGAGTAAGGTCTCGTGTTAGGGTTTTCTCTTCGATCAATCGATCGCGCCGGGGAGAGATGGAGGTCGATAGGAAGCTGAGAATGCGCCAGCAGATCCTTCTGGATCATCTGCGGCCGTCGTCGGCGCCTCGCCCCGTCAATCTTGTGGTAAATTTATTTCACTCAATTGGAGCTGCATTCTTGACGATCGCCATGTCTGGCAGACGTCCATTTGCTCCGCTGGGGATTCTGCCGCGTATCACAGGACCACCGATTACTCTGACGATGTCGTTGTTGTAGCGTGAGTTTTTCCTTTTTTTCTCTTCAATTTTTTTTGTCTGTGCAACTGGAATTGCGATTTCCTCAGTGCGTATCGAACACCCATTTGTAAATCCAAGCGTGGGGGTTTCAAGGATACTTACCCCGAGGATTTACTGACTCCCGTTCTTAAGGTATCGTTTTCAATGGCGATTAACTTATTCTCGGGAAATGTTTTCTCTAGGCTGTTGTGGAAAAAGTTGGCTTGAATCCTGCTGAGGTTGGCGACATTGTTGTGGGAACCGTGCTTGCTCCTGGTTCTCAGCGTGCAAATGAGTGCCGGATGGCAGCATTCTATGCTGGATTTCCAGGTTTATGATTTTTCTTTGTTTTCTATATAACTTGTTTTTCTTTCACCATTGAGACTAACTTTTATGTCTTGGTAGAAACTGTGCCTGTTCGTACCGTGAACAGGCAATGTTCTTCTGGCCTCCAAGCAGTAGCTGATGTTGTGGCTGCTATCAAGGCCGGATTCTATGATATTGGTGAGTCAGAATTATTACACCCACGGTTCGCTTATGAAAAACGTATTCAGGTATCGGTGCTGGTTTGGAATCCATGACGGCAAACTTGGTGGCTTGGGAAGGCTCGGTGAATCCAAAGGTTCGGTGTCTCTATGCTTTTCTGTGCCGGATTCAAGCGTTCGTTGATGCAGGTGGAAATGAACCAGAAGGCACAGGACTGCCTTCTACCAATGGGAATTACATCCGAGAACGTTGCTGAAAGGTACGGCGTGTCCAGAAAGGAGCAAGACGAAGCTGCAGTAAGTTTATTCATAGTTATACGTGAACCGGTTTTGACCATGTTATATCAGGTTAGATCTCATCGTCGTGCCGCAGCCGCTACAGCGACTGGAAGGTTCAAGGATGAGATTATTCCGGTTCACACCAAGGTAACAGTGTGAGATTCGAGTGTAGGTCTACTATAACTTCTGTTTGCCAGCTTGTTGACCCGAAAACCGGAGAGGAGAAGCCGGTCGTGATATCTGCTGATGACGGTATGCGGCCCAATGCGAACGTTGCAGACCTTGCAAAACTGAAGCCGGCGTTCAAGAAAGGAGGCACCACCACTGCCGGTACGAGAGAAGTGCATGAGCTTCATGTCTTCATGAATTCTGTTCTTTCAGGAAACTCTAGCCAAGTCAGTGATGGTGCGGGTGCTGTTCTACTTATGAAAAGAAGTGTGGCTATTCAACGAGGACTACCAATTCTCGGGGTGTTCAGGTGTTGATCGTTTAAACTACAAGAATCTGGGAATCACTTTAAACATGGTGCAGGAGTTTTGCTGCTGTTGGCGTCGACCCTGCCGTCATGGGTATTGGACCAGCGGTTGCGATCCCGAAAGCTGTGAAAGATGCCGGTCTGGAGATAAGCGACATTGACTTATTCGAATTGAATGAGGCTTTTGCATCGCAATTCACTTATAGCTGCAAGAAGCTCGACTTGGATATCGAAAAAGTGAATGTGAATGGAGGTGCTATGGCTCTTGGCCATCCTCTGGGTGCTACAGGTATGTCCTCACCCATGCTTTGTGGCATAAACCTCATTTTATGATGGCTGCAGGAGCTCGTTGTGTCGCTACTTTACTTCATGAGATGTCGAAGAGAGGAAAAGACTGTAGATTCGGAGTCATATCCATGTGTATAGGTAATGAAGTCACGTTTTTCATTCCAGCTTTTTGATTGACGTTCCCAACGTTTGCAGGTAGTGGGATGGGAGCCGCTGCTGTGTTTGAGAGAGGAAACGCGGTTGATAATTTGAGCAATGCCCGTCCTGTCCAGAATAACAGCCTGCTGTCAAAGGACGCTCGATAGACTCCAGGGATGGTATGAAGCATGTTCTTTCGAAATTATTTAATAAGACAGGGACTTCCGTATATAACATTGCCTTTTACAAATTTGTTGTCTCGAGCAAAGCGAGCACAGGTGTTTTTAAGCCCACCATGGGTTCTCTCCCGTTCTAAAGTCCGTCTCGGGCCAGAGGCTCAAAATAACTTTGTTGCTGTCGACGTCACAGTGAGCCAACGCTAGTGACTGCAAGTTTTCAAGTACACAGGTTAGCTCTTTGATTCATATTCGTGGTTCTGAACTTACCAATGGTGCAGGACCTCGGACGACTCTTCCCTGGTTGTTGTATTGAGAACCGTGGCAAGGACAGATAAACTTGTTCTCCGCTTTGTTCCAGGGAACCACACATCCGAGATGCGTGCAAACAGCGTTAATTGCATATGGTGCCAACGTTCCATCGTTCTCAACAACGAGGTAAGTTGGATCTCCCTGAAAAGCACAGTTTTTATTAGTTCGAACGAAGCAAAAAACGTTTTTTTGGTTTTCGTTCCTACCTTCAGGCCTTGGCTGAGAGTTCTATCGCCAGGAGGATGCGATGCAAGCCATTCGGTGACCAGAATATCATTCCCAATGGCGTCCTTAGCAACAAGGCCGGTGCCACTTCCGCCGGAGCTGATTGGAAACGAGAGCTAAGACCGAGGAACTCGAAAGGTGCATACGTACCCGGGTGGCACAAAGAAGTAGAGGTACGGTCCCAGGATCCCAACTGTTGGCAACGAGAGTGCTCCCAGGAGCAAGGTGTTGAGGAGCTGCCGCTTTCCCATGTCGGGCACATTGGCCGGGACCGACGCTGCTTGACACACAGTTTTGCATTTCCTCGCCCTGCCTCGGCTCAGCGGCAACAGAGGCGATGACGAGAAAGAACAAGAGGGCGAGTGAATTCCATTCTGTGCCGACGAGAGCTGCTTCAAAACAAGACAATGGAATCAATCGACCCATCAAGCATTGCTGGTTTTCTATCTAGTGTACGCACCTTAGCTGCCGAAGCCACGCTAGAGATGGTGGCGGCCATCTGTGTTTGTGAGAGCGTGGTGGCGCTTGGCTCGTGGTCGCCACAAGCTGTGTGTGTGGGTGTGGTCTAGCTTGGTCGGGGTGAGAGAAGCAATCGCGGCCGTTGGCGGTGGATATTCATCCGACGTGTGAAAGGACGCATAACATTGTTAAGGGGGTGTAGCTCAGATGGTAGAGCGATCGCTTCGCATGCGATAGGTAAGGGGATCGATGCCCCTCACCTCCAACCTTTCGTTTTTTAATATCACATTAAAAAATTAAAAATTGATTTTCATTCATATATTGTTTACATGGCGATTTAGGAATTATAGGACCATAGGGTTTGTGTTAATATCGGTGAATCAAATCCAACCACAGCTTCCCCAATAAGAACCTTTGTGTGTCTTTCTTGAGGCCATAGGGCTCAATGCTCTGTGGATTACTAGTGTCTAACACAAAATACTGAGATGCCAAGCAGGCTTGGAGAAGTATCGCCATGAGAACTAAGAAAGCTAACTTCTTTAGCTCCTGCTCTTGCTTGTGTGCCAGTAGCGCCATCTCCCACTCGAGTGGATCGTCAAGAGCTTTCTTCCAAACCTAAAGTTGGGCACTGTCTTTTATAGTGAAACGAAAAGGAATTTAACTGCGCAAAAAGGTCCTTACGCATTAACAAGTTAATTATTCTTCAGTGGTCTTAGAACTTTGACGTCAAGCTTTTGGAGGTGGCGTATCCACAAACATCCAAGTTTTCTTCAGGAGTTCTTCCGAGTAGCGTGTTCCAGCCACCTCCTCTTCGGGGACAGCAGCAGCGATCTCATCAATCTCCGCCTTGGAGAGTTTGAGATTTAAAGAGCCAAGGTTCTCATCGAAGTTTGGGACTTTTGTTGTTCCTGAAAATGATGCAACAAAACTTGAGCAAGAGAAGAAGAACAAGGAGTAACGCTTCACCTGGGATGGGAACAACGTCCTTGCCTTGCGCTAAAACCCACGCCAGTGCTAGCTGGCTTGTGGTGCAGCCGTGCTTGCTTGCGAGAGCGGCAACACGCTCGTACAAAACCTTGTTCTTCTCAAAGTTCTCGCCTTGGAATCGTGGCTGTCGAACCTGAAACAATTTGTCCCTGACAAGTTGGCAAACGTCTGAAAGACTCGCTACTCCTTACAAGACGGGAATCATCGCTTTGTAGCTTCTCAACAATCGCTTTGCCGGAGAAGAAGCCTCGTCCGAGAGGGCTGTATGGAACTATTCCGATGCCAAGCTCTCTGTGAGAAAGTTGAGAAAAATGAAAGAACTCTAGTAAGAACATGATCTTGATAAAAAGAGCTTGGGTTGAGACCAACCTGCACGTAGGAATAATCTCTGCCTCCGCATCACGGGTCCAAAGTGACCACTCCAGCTGAACTGCAGTGATCGGATGCACCGCATGAGCTCGCCGGATGGTGTTGGCACTCGCTTCCGACAGTCCAATGTTCTTGATCTTCCCTCCTTGGACGAGCTTCTTGAGCTCACCCATCTACAAAGCCAATGCTTCAAGATCAAAACACGGAACTTTCGGCCCGGAAAAAAGAGAAACTTGCCGTTTCTTCGATGGGAACCTCAGCATCGACGCGGTGCTGATAGTAAAGGTCGATATAGTCCACTCCAAGTCGCTCGAGGCTGGACTCACAGGCTTTGCGGACGTACTCAGGAGTTCCATTCACAGTCACTCCCATCATGCCTTCTCCCGGAACGTTTCCAAACTTTGTGGCAAGTTGGACTTTCTCGCGCGGGAGATCCTTCAATGCCTGGCTCGGGAAACAAAGAAAAGCTCCATGAAAGCAAAAGAACTACAAAGAAGCAAAAGAAGAAGAAGAAAAAGCTAATACCTTTCCAACGAGAATTTCATTCGTGAATGGGCCATAGATGTCGGCAGTGTCGAAGAATGTGACCCCGGAATTGAAAGCGTGGTGTATGAGCGCGATCCCAGCGTCATCGCTCGTCGGCGTGCCATAGAAGGTGGAGAGGCCCATGCATCCCAGACCTAGAGCCGACACCTGGGGGGAAATCGATCCATGAGAGCTGAAATTTTTGTGGTAGAGTACCTCTAGCCCCTGCGCGCCCAGCTTCGTGCGCCTCGACTCCATAGCCGTCGACTGTTTGAATACCCAAATTCGAATCTCCTCTCCATTATCTCTAGACAAAATTTAATTCAAAATTTGAACTAATTATTTGGAGATGAGGGGTATCGATCCCCTTACCTATCGCATGCAAAGCGATCGCTCTACCATCTGAGCTACACCCCCCGTACGTCCTTGTTTCGTACATTTCGTTCTTAAGCTAACTTAAGAATGGCTATGGCTCTGAGAGAAGAACTTAAGCAGCAATGATCTCTTCGTCGGCAACAACTTGGACCTGTGAGCTTGATCTAGGACGAATTTTCAAGCAGTTTGTTCCAGGAGGGTGAGAAGGAGCGGCATTCCAAACTTCGGCTGGAGGTTGAGAGTAACGTCGGGTTCATGCCGATAGCTGCCGCTCAGCTCCCAGCTGAATCTCAGCAGCACCATCGCAAGGACCGCTTTGGCTTCCGCCATGGCCAAGCTCTGCCCCACGCAAGTCCTCGGCCCGCTTCCAAACGGCAAGTATGCCAGAGGATGGCTGCAAGCCGACTTGATCCCATTCTCGAACCGGTCGGGCCGGAAGTCGGCTGCGTCTCGGCCCCAGAGCTCTTCGCTGCGATGAATCGCCGCGACGGGGACGATCACCTCCAGACCCGGAGGAACTCTGATATCGCCCAGATGGTTCTCTCTCACGCAGCTTCGCCCGATGAGTGGCTGCGGCGGGAACAGCCGGACTGCTTCCATGAGGATCAGCCCGATCGTCTTGAGCTTGCTGAGATGTTCCCATGCAAGCACGGTGGAAGACAACGGAGATGGCGATGGCCAGGAGGATCCGAGGACTTGCGAGACTTCTTCGCGAGCTCGATGCTGCCACTGGGGATTGAGAGCCAGCAAGTAGAGGCTCCACGATAGCACCGCTGCGGTGGTCTCGTGGCCGGCGAGGAGAAAGGTGACGGAGTTGTCGAGAGCTTCTTGCTCGGTCATGGCGCTGGAGTCGCGGAAGATCTCGACGAGGCGATTGCCGTGATGATCCGAACGAGAAGTGGAGGCCGCCGGGACGAGAACTTCCTTCATTAGGCCACGGATCCAGGCCTCGTCTTGCCTAGCTTGCGTGAGGAGCCTCTCTTGCAACCATCTATGGATCCATGATCAGATCGAGAGCTTGGAAGGTTGTGGAAATACCTGTATCCCGGGATCACGGCAGCAAGACCAAAGACGAGCTCTCTCCGGCCGTGGTGGTACCTCTTTAGAGTCTGGAAGAGCGTTCCAGGATCGGCTCCGAGCTCCGTTCCAAAGACGGTCTTTTGGAGAACGTCGAGAGTTAAACCCAGGAAGAATCTGTGCATGTCGACGATGCCGCTCGTCTCGGCTTTGACTGCCAGTTTTTCCAAAGCGAGCGAGGTCGATTCCACCATATCCTGTACCTTGCTCTGGCAGAAAGCAAGAAAAAAAGAGAAGAAAGCCTTGGCATGCGCACGAACGAATGCGATGGAGTTTAGCGTACCTTGATTTCTTTGGTGAGCAAGGCAGGAGCGATGAGAGACCGCTGCCTGGCCCAGTCATCGCCGCTGGACGAAAACAATCCATTCCCGAGGATTCGGAGGACTCGTACAAACGATGGCTTTGAGTAGCAGCTCTCCACCCCCGGATCGTTGGTGAGAAACGCTCGAACCAGCGAGAGATCCGAGACGACCAGCGTGACCATCTTTCCTACGGACACGTAGAAGACCTTGGGGCTGGAAGCGCTGAGCCCGCTGAGCGTGTCCCAGCATTGGAACAAGCGTCCTTGGGAGCGGACGAGCTGGAGAGAGCCCAAGAACTTCTAAGCAACTGGATGAACCGAGCTCCAAAATTCCGCGATGGGCAGTCGAGAAGACTTACCCGACCCGGCCTGGAGGAGTCGCCATAGCTCTCGACACTTTGCTGCTTACAAACCTGGACAAGAGCTCGAGGGAGAAGCACCCATTCCTTGTAAGTCGGCAGGACGTAAACTGTGAAGATCGCCACGAGAAGAGGGAGAGCGGCCGCGAGCGATGGAACAAACTCCATTACCTAGGATCTAGATACAAAGCCCAAAGATTTTGACTTTCATGAGCAAAGGTTATACACTTCCGCGAAGGAGGAAACCATTTCCTTTCCCAGTTAGTATGATTGACGTAGTGACAACTATCACAGTTCCAGATCCTGTCCGTGCAAGCGCTTTGGTCGTAAGTCATCTCGATTGATTTCCATAGTAACTTTGTTCTCCGTTTTCTCATCACAGTTGACGCAACCCGACACAAGCTCATGGAAACAGTCGATGCAATCCAAGAAAATGAAAGCATGGATTGTGAGACAAGGGCATGCAAACGCGTCGCAGCATTTGCCCAGAGGCGGCATTTGTGTGCGGGGGGAAGCACATCTATTTCGTGCGTAATTCATTTTTGGGTTGGTCCCAACCCACTTCATTGATGAAAAGGGCCCCCAGCAACGTTATTGTCATATGGGACTACAGCGGTGGCAGCGGCCAGCAGCGGATCAGAGGGAAGCACAGCCCAATTGATTTTTACACAGGACTGGCAATCCAGCCATGGATTGAAAGTGGCCGCGGAGCCGCGCAGCACCTAACTTGGACTAGTGCTACTACTCTCGCAGCACCAGTTGGATACTTTCCCGTGGCCGGGCGTAAATGAGAGTTGAAGGGTACTGAATGCTGGTCGTTGACAAAGAGGTATTTTTCGTTCTTTTGGAACAATGAATGTTGGTTTCTTTACTCTCTCTCCTTTCTTTTCTCCCACTCAAAGAGAGTTTTTCTGTGTGTTACAGGGACTGGTGATCTGCAAACTCCTCGTCTCTGTATTTTATACCGCATCGCGAGGCATACTTTCCTTGTTTTAGGGAGCATCTGGCGAGCTCCACTCTCAAGTTCGTCCATTTGAGAGAGTCAGGTCTGCTTCTCTTTTTCTCTTCTCTCGTGAATGGTGACTGATTGATTTGATCTTTGAGTGGCAGCAGCAGCAGCGGCTAGTTTCTGTGCAAGACCCACGGGAGTTTTCTCTGTGTCAGGAGTTTTCTTGGTTCTCCGTGCACATTATGGTGAGCGTGGAGTTTAGCGATGGCGTTGCTACTCCCATGATTCCCAATGGACAAGCGAAATCGAAGCCTTCAACTCATGCCACTGCGAATGGAAATGTGGGAGCAGTGCTGGAAAACGGGCATGCAAACGGGAGTTCTTCTAATGGCAAAGCAAAGGAAGAAGCTAGCAAACACCAAACTCTTGGCCACAAGAGCCTCCTCAAGAGCGACGCTCTCTATCAGGTACTTCCAAGTTTCCAAATGCTCTGATCTCTAGATTTTCTCCATTGACGCAGTATCTCCTCGAGACGAGCGTTTATCCGCGAGAGCCAGCGTCACTCAGAGGATTGAGAGAGCTAACAGCAAAGCATCCATGGTTGGCTTTCCCAAACTCATTCTTTTCTCCTCGAAATACCTCTGATTTGTGCGAATTCTCTCTCAGGAACATCATGACCACTTCTCCAGACGAGGGCCAGTTTCTAAGCATGCTAGTAAAGATCATGAACGCCAAGAACACCATCGAAATCGGCGTCTTCACGGGCTATTCTCTTCTCAGCACAGCGCTGGCGCTGCCAGAGGATGGAAAGGTGAAAACGAAGTCCTGGATCGAAGTTCACGACTAAGAAGTGTGTGTTCTACACAGATCATAGCAATGGACATTGACAGGAGCAACTATGATTTGGGATTCCCATTCTTGCAAGAAGCAGGAGTGGACCACAAGATTGATTTCCGCGAGGGCCCAGCTCTGGCAACTCTGGACGAGCTCGTTCAAAATGTAAGCCTTCACGTTTTAAGATCACTTCCTTCTTTCTTTCCTGTGTTCCTTCTTTCTCTAAAAGTAGATGAAGCTCACCATCCTCTCGATCCTACTTTTAACCTGCCAAGCTCGCTAAGTAAAATACCCCTGTTCATAGAAAACGTTTTCACTCTTTTCTTTATACGTTCCTCTAAAAGAAAAACGTTATCTTTGTACTCTCAGAACAAGAACCATGGCTTCTTCGATTTCATTTTTATTGATGCCGACAAGAACAACTATCTCAACTATCACGAGAGAGTAATGCAGCTCGTCAAGATCGGTGGAATCATCGGCTATGACAACACGCTGTGGAACGGAGCAGTGGTGGCGTCCGACGATGAGCCAATGCGCAAGTACGTCCGGTTCTATAAAGATTTCGTCAAGGAGCTCAACAAAGTTCTCGCGGCGGACCCTCGCATCGAGATAAGTCACATTTCCATCAGCGACGGGATCACGCTGTGCAGACGCATCGTATGATAAAAACCAAATCGCCACCCACAGTTCTTATTGTTCTTCCACAGATAGCTCTTCAGTAGCTCGTTAGGAGAATCTTTCCACCTCTCGCTGGTGTCTGCAAGAAGAAGGAATTATTTTGTTCATAAGCTTCGGACTGTTATTTCGAAGTCTCAATGGAAGGAATTCTTCTCTTACCTGGCTCTTGACGATGGCTTCCTGGATCTTCTCCAGCGGGAGCTTCTCCCCTGTCAATGGAGTGATCACCTTCTTCTCCAGGAGCTCCCAGATCTTCGCACCGAGCTTCTTTTGCTCGGGGACGCCGATCTTCGCGATCCAGCGGGTCAAGTGGAAGCCACGAACGCGGACGTGCCTAAAGATCACGTCTGGAGGGTTTGCGCTGATGTCCTCGCCGTCCAAGAGCCCGTACACCAAGATGGTGCCTTCGTCCCTCACTGTCGTGCTCACAAGCTTGGAAAGCCAGAAAAGAAAAACTTATAAGCTTCCATGGAACATTGTATGATACCTTTGTGGTTTTGCCTCCCAGGCAATCAGTAGCTCCATAAACCATCCTTCCTTTGGTTACCTCTCTCACGATCTTGAGTACGTTTTCCTCTTTGAAGTTGATCACTACGTCGGCCCCGAGCGCTTTAAGCTCTTCCTTTTGCTCGTTTCGCCTAACCAAGTTGATTGTCTGTTGGATGGAACTTGAGAAATCACCAGCAGTTTCAAAAGAAGAGCAAAGATCACCTTGATGCCTTGGTGACGAGCGATTTGGATAAACATTCTCCCAAGGACAGATGCGGCCGCAGTCTGCAGTACGTACTCTCCCTCTGGCACCTTGAGTGCTTGGAGCATCGCATATGCTTCCAAAAGAAAGAGAAAACGATAGATACTGAACGACTCAAGGAAATCTTACACAGTACCTGTCCACGGATTCACGTAGTACTGTGCAGCAACTTCATCCGAGATGGAATCCGGCACCAATGTCAAGTTCCTCGGCGAAGTTACCATGAACTCTTGCCAAGTTCCTCCGTGTCCAGTGTGGAACACCCGCTGCCCCACGCTCAAGCCACTCACATTTGCTCCAACCTGCGGCGAAGGTTTCACTCAAAGTTCTCTTTGGAGAGAAAGCACAAGCGCGTTACCTCGTGAATCGTTCCCATTCCTTCAAAGCCAGGGACATACGGGAACTTGTAGTCGCCTGGATAGATGCCCATCAACGAGACCACATCGGAAGGATTGACGGGGCGGCAGAGAATCTTGAGCAGCACCTCGTCTGGCCCGGGCTTTGGAGTTTGCACAGTCGCGACTTGGCACACCGAGACTGGGTTCGCGGGGTTGAATC